AAAGCACAAAAAAAAATTTACTCCCAAGTGCCCACAAACCTGCCATTCTACCTTAACCCTATTTAGTAAACAGTAACAAATGTTGACCTTGACAATGAATGGGTTATTAGCCACAAAGAAACAAAATCTGTCAGGATCTGACAAAACCTCACAAATAATGTTACTGTTTAATTTTTTTTCAGATTCATGTCATTATGTTTCCTGGACTTTCGATAAAATGTTGCAAACAATACAAATGTAAAAACATTCTATATGAAAAACACTGACTTGTTTTTAAGGACACCAGTCAGTAAATTTTTTTCAACTTTTCAACAAATTTGTCTTGTTTCCAGTAGTACCTGAAGTCATGTCAATCATGCAGAGATTATGAGGTGTACATTTTTGTAAAAGCAAAACATTGCATTATTGATTTCAAAAGGGTTTAAATTTCGCTGATTTACATTTCAGGCATATTCAGTGGGTTATAAATTCACGGTTTTATAATTTAGATAATGTGTTCTATGCTAAATTTTACATATTCACTGGGTTTTAATTTAGCTCATTTTTCAGTCAGCAAAATAAGAAAAATTAAAACCCAGTGAATAATTAAACTTTTTACAGTACAAGGTGCATCTTATTTTTAATAGTATTTAAGAAGAAGTAATAATACAATAACACTTACCAACATATAAGTTCAGGTAACTTAATTCCCAAATCTGTTTCTGAAGAAACATTTTTTAAAATCTGCAGAAAGTGCAAATAACATCACAAAAACAATTACAATTACAAAGGAATAAAACTACAGTAAACATTTGATCACTAGAAAGTTGTATGACAATGATGATATGTGACATGAACAAATCAGAACCCCCCACAAATTCCTAGTGATAAATTTTTCAAAAATTATGTAGTGATCAATTATTTGTTTTCATTGAGGTGATAAATACAAACACTTGGCATGATATTTCTGATTTAACAGAAATTCATGGATGCAGGGATGGAATAAGAAAACCAATAACAAGTTTGATGTGCTGCAAGTTTCTCCCATGAATGGAACTCATAATCACACATCATCCAATAATGTTATAATTCATATACCGCTAGGTATCAAGTTTGAAAAAATTATGAAAATACTCACTTTAACAAAATTATTGAGATGGCCAAGCTTTCTCCCTCTTGAACTACCAGACGTCTTAACTATATTGACTAATATATCACGTACATTCTCCTCAGGAGCTGTAGGTCCAAACAAAGAATAAAACAATTTGGGAAATATCTGGAACTCGTTTTACCCATAATAAATTCTGGCTTTTAGAAAAATATTTTAACACAACACCCGTTGAATATCATGCGTGATCTATCCTCCAAATTACTGTAAACCAATTGCAATTTGAATGGCATTCATGAGAACAAAATTTGGGGACCTCAAATAAATTGTCACAGTGACAAAATTTTGCAACTTTTTGATACTCACAAAATTTACGAACATTGAAGCAGTTTACAGTAAACCAACTGACCTCCTTTTATGCCAATACAATACAAAGGTACACCAACCCTTTGAGTATATACTGTTCTCCTAGTTGTAGTTCATTGCCAATTTAATATACACATGTTCGTGCATATTTGCACAGTATGTACTGAGATTTTCTGCATTCCTTAATAGAATTTCAAGTCTGATAAACTCACTCAACACAACTGAACCTTCCCAAGCCATTTCCAGACATTTTTTTGTCTTTGCTGCTAGTTACAAGTGCACATGCAAAAGATTTTGCCAAACCTAATACCACATGATTGTGGGCAGACTGTAGTCCGATTTATACTACTGGGTAAACAGTATATCAACTCCTGGTACCAAACCTACAACTGATGCAAATGAACATGCTAATTATCGGTACTTTACCATTGTTTGTTGGTAAACTTTCAACTGTTTACCAACAAGCATCCATTCTGTGACGCTATTGGACAGAACAAGTTTAATTGACAGGCTTGTTGAAATATAAATCCAACACCCTCATGAAGTACTGTAAAATACTTTATTTTAGCTGGAATAAGTTTCGCTGAAAATACTTTTTTGGTGTTTTGTATGGAATTTATTGTCACTGATTTTTGATGAGTTGAACGTAAAATATAGGAAAAAAAGTATATTCGCTGGATTTTATTTTCACTGAATCATTCCTTCAGTGAAAATAGCGAAAATTATTTCCAAGCAAAAATAAAGTATTTTACAGTATGTGATTCCCTTAATGAGCAATTTCAGTGAAACCTTCCCTGTATATATAAACCAATCATAGCCATGAAAGACGGAAAACATTTTATCTAACTTTGGTTGCGTTTATGTTATCTAGAGATGAAAACAACGATTTTGTATTCACTACTACTTTATGAATTTGATACGATCATCACTCATGCTATAATAGATAATTTATTTTGTTATTAATTTGTTTATTGAGAAGGTGAGGTAATGAACGACAGAAACCTGGTGTCGATATAATTGTTTCATAAATATAATTTTTATAAACCAAAATGGCTGTCAGAATTTAAATTAACCTATCGAGAAATAGTATTGTGATATGACTATTAGTTTTAATTAATATTATTGAGTTAGTTCGACATCATACAATCATCAAATGCTTTATTTTTAATATGTGAACAGTCCCATAGGTGGTCGCAATTAAAAAAAAAAACTTATGTTGCCCTCAAGTCGAAAAATTGGGTCGGTCGGTCGGTTTTCTAAATTAGTGAAAACTAAGAGTATCGTAAATAGCCAAGGTATATGGACTTCATAGTATTCGGAACATGTCAGACAAATACAGATCAACCCAAGGTTCAAAGTCGCCACTTACGGAGACTCTGGGGATCAAACAACGGTCTGGGATCCTTAATTTTTAGAGGAAACACTTTTTTACTGCTTAAAATGGTGAGTTTTTAATATTTGGGTCTATTAAATGAAAAACGCGACCCGATATTTCATATTTTTGGGTCGGTCGCTGAGGGCAACAAAACAATTTTTTTTTTTTTTGGCCTTATGTTACGAGAAGGCATTATGTGCGTTAAGGGCATAGACATTTGTTGAGCTCTTGAGCTAATCACCATTAAATATTTAAACTTTAATGAAAACTGATGATTTTTATAAATAAGTTAATAAACTAATGTACTGCTGTCTTACTTTCCCTCCACTTCTTATAATAAATATACAATCATATGGATACAGCATGCCTACTAGAAAGCCATGTGTACGCTGCACAATAATATAGTACAATATGTTGAACTATGCTACCTGACCGCTGTATGTGACTTATGTAAATATATAACTTACAAATTTGATTCGGAAATTGTAAGAAGGTCACAGCACACGCTTCAATTCAATTTAATTGTCAAACAAAAAATGAAAATAAATGTAGTCACTGTGTGACTGCGATAGGGGAAATTGTGTGGGATTTAACCGCCAAATAAGCAGACTATATACTTGAACCAGTTAATTGGATCGCATACTTGAACCAGTTAATTTCCCGAATTCAGCCGCGCATACGTAACACAGATGAACGCGATGCATGAAATACGTACACCCACCCAATGTCCAAACACGGATACCGTAGTATCTCGACAATGTAGACAGTTGTCAGACATGTTTTACAAAACCACAAGTAGACGACGAGTACGATATATTCCCCCATGAAAAACACACTAATGACCATAATCAATGATTTCAGTAGCATATTTCACGTGATCGCTACGCGAATACAAATGGACAATCACTTTGAAATCAGGCGACTCGACGAGCGATCGAGCCTCAGTCTCGGAGCTTACCTCGGCCGAGATCCAACGGGACATCCGTATCTCCACTATCATGACGTCCTATAAAATAAAAACATTATGATGGTCATACTAGTCACTTCAACAGTAATCGAAAATTCACAGATCCGCAAGTGGCGAGACAAAAGAAAAACATTACCTCTTGTCCGTCTGGAGCTATGACGGGGCCGGAACATGGCAGCCATTTTGGGCCGGCCCTCTTGCATTCTCGTCGTTTCTCGCGAGAATTCAACTCTCTTGTGTTCTGAAATTGATTCACCCCATTAACAAGGACGGCGGTAAAAATAATAGGATTAGATTTTCAGGTAGTTGGCTTTCATTAAAACTAGCGTTTCCTTAACATTAACTATATGGCTTTATGCTGTTGTTACCGATAGAATTATTGTCAACGAACCATTTACTATTGCTTCTCAGTCAAAATGATTCGTCATAAATTTCGTTGGGGTACTACTTACCCGGGGGATGTACAATACATAAAACTTGTCTGATGGGGACGTGCCCATGAAATGGGTCTCGTTTTTTTGGATTTTAGGTATAAGTATCGGTCTCATTTCTGGTCAAGATAGGTATAAATATCCGTAATTAATTTGCTCTTATGTAAGTGACAGCGATGTTTTTATGGTCAAAATACATATTTTAATAAATTAATATACAATACAACTGATGGCTTACATGTGCTTCTATTGTAGATGCTCTTCTAGTAGAGCAAATACGGTAACTGTTTTATTTGAATAAAAAGTGATGACAGAAATGGTACTTTGGTATCAATATGGGTATAGATTTTGCCACTATCCAGGTATACAAATGGTCACACTTTCATTTGAGTACTCAGGGGCACCTCCCTACCCAGCTATGTATTCACTGCCCCCACGGGACTACATAATGGTAGTCGCATGTAGTCATGAGACGGGTACGTATATACTTGTCCCAGATTATCGGCATATTCTGAAGGGTACTATTTACTTTGTTATAAAAATCATGCTTTAACACGAACTCCGATGGTGATAGTTCCAAAAAGGCCAATTTTTGCATGTTTTCAAATATATTTTTTTCAGAAAAAACAGGGAATATATATAAATATTTTCAATGTGCATACCAATATTTGACCTTCACTAAAGAAAATTACATAAACATTATATACAAAAAGTTTATGCAATTATGCAGAAAGAAAATATCTCAATTTCAGCTCACCCAAGTCACTACCAAATTATATTCACAAAATTATTGCTGCGCTGAATCTAAGGCTTAGTCACAGCCCTTTAAAGGATGACAGAACCGTGCCGGCTGTAAATCTGCGCAAAATGTACATGTCTGACTGTTGAATACTAGACCAATCGTACATAAATCATGAAAAACGCCGGGGGATCTGTGAATTCAACGTAATATACTAGTACTAACGTAACTGTTATTAATTGCCACACGTGATACCGCCTCCCCATATGCATTACTCACGTATTGTGTTTCAATTTCTGAATAACTGACCTGAAGCACTTAGATTGTTATATACAGAGAAACAGTACAGAGAACGCTTTATTTTCTGAGGTTGCGAACCCACGATGTAGCGCCCTCACATCCAGATACGGGCACATTTAATTTTCCTTACGCGTTGTTCATATGACAGTTACATAACAGCTATTCCGTCTGTTAAATAATCCTTTGTCTCACAATTTAAAACAACTCTCGTGCATATGTTTTGCATTTTTTTAACATTTTCCTGTGTACTGTTAGTCCAAACACAAGTGTCACCGTAGAATTAGTGAAGGTTTGCAACATATTTTGAGATAAATAAGCCAAAGCCTGTATGCCTAACACAGCAATTCCACTAGCTATTTTTCATCACCGTGACGTTTTATTTTACACGGATATCACATTTGAATTCTTCAAACCATACGGGCAGTTAAAATATAAATTATCAAATATAAAGTGTGGTGTGTTACAGTTTTTTCTCAAATATATATACGGAATAAATGATAGACAACGACTATGCAGACACGGTGAGGGGGCTTTGCAAGTGAACGCCAATTTGATGGCTTAACAATGTTAACATTTTAAATTTCAAGTCAATGTAAACAAATAAGTAGAATTATTGTAAGGGCGTGGGTTCATATACAACACATTCTTATTCCATTCCGTTTATATTAAGTTAAATTCCAATTTAATTTAACTAGTCATATTTAACCACAGTACTGTGATTTAATTTAAGAGTGACTCAATATAATTTCATCAAAGTCTTTGGATTGTTGATTGTTGTGTCTATATATATATATATATATATATATATAGGTCACTGTGCAAAGATGGAGGTACGGACCTAATTGTTTAGATGAGCGTGATATTCGTACTGCGTGTGTATTTCGGGTGTCACATGTGACACTATGGAAAGAAATGTGAAACACGACCCGTTCAATTAAAAAAAAAAATTGTTGCGATTTTGCAATTTCCCTATGTTAACACATGGGCGATAGAAGGTGTTCTCACGATAAAACGTTTGCCTGCATGCGTGTCCACGAACCCTACACTGTAGTGAGCAACTTGCATTGATATTTTTGTGACGACCTATTTCAATTTTAATTTATTTGCTTATTTGTTTTTTTTCAAATTGTTAAATAAGCTTCCCTTTTTTAAATCATCGATATTAGCTTGTGTGCATAATTGTGACATGAATCAAACTCAAATTGCTTGCCTGACTCAATGTGTTAGAAAGCTCCCTCGTCCCCATGGAGATATAAACCATTTTTCAGGTTAAGTGAACAATCTTTCAATAGATAAAGAGATTACCTTTCACCATGTCACCCACTGTCATGTAACCTACATTCGGGGTCAATTCGTGACAGTGTATGAGGGCACTCGATGGTTGTCGTACAAATCTGGTCAGTGTCAACGTTTTTATTTGTAGAATACAAAATGTTTATTTAATGATTAAAATTGATGCGGCAACTTGAGGGATATGAAGCAGAGGATGTTGCTTACACATTTATGTTTAGCAACAGTCGTACTCCATTAGTTGAACTTTTAATAAATGCTCTTGTGACATTTTCCGTCCATGTGAGCGCCTGTCACACACTGTGACGCAATTGTTTTTAATGGTGCACCCGATGTGTTGAACTCAAATATTCATTGTCTTTTCCTGTTTGTGATTGGTCCTGGCAACGTTTGGGGGACCGTGACGTAGCTCCGACTGTGAGAATAGTAGCATACAAGGGACACAGCGTGATACACAACGTACTGAGATAAAATATTTCTAAATATGGTGAAGACAATCGTCGAAGTCACGTGCGTTCAGAAGAATGTCGTTCCCATGTGGGTCCCATACTACGCCTGACAATATTATGTGCTAATGTATGCATGCGGATCAAATTTGTTGTTTATCTACAGAACATTCGCCGGGATCCGGAACGCACGTACGCATGCACACAGTCGCGACCATCACCGCCCAAATGACAAACTACGACGAAAAGACAAAAACAAATGGTTAATAATTGTAATGTAAATAAATATAATTACAGTGGTGTCAATTTCATTAGGGACTGTGATTTGTCATAAACTGGCTCTTGTTGTTTTGAACTACTTGAAGTGGGTCAGTTGTATTTTGTAGTTGAAACATTTTGAATAGTTGTACGACTATTGAATATCATGTTATCAGGGGCGGTATGTCAAAGCTATATAACCATCCATGGCGATCAATCCATCTGCGATGATTGTTGTCATTGTTATCTGAGCTAAAGGCAAGAACGATCAACAAGTTCGCTTCATTAAACACACATCTAACACGTGACGTTTACGTACCATGGATGCGGTCAAGTGAACATTTTGTCATGTGACGGTGTTTACACGCACGTCACGTGCATTTGAATACGCCAGCACCGTGTGAACATTGCGCACAGTCAAGCGCGGAGGGTCTATTGGTGTTATCAGAGTGACCGGCTGTGACCCCGTGAACATATTAAAGGGTATTGTGGGAATGGTTTGGGTATGAAATTTGTTTGGTTGTATAATAGTTCAGACTAAGATAACAGTATGGAAACGTCCTGGAACAAATCTGAAAGAATGTGTTTTATTTCTGTGAATATGATACTTCAGATTGTTGAAAATCATGTGTTAATGAATGATACAATCCCAAGACAAATACGAATGGAAAAGGTATATAAATACACGGTTACTTCTTCTAGTAACCGTGATTAATGTGATTAAAGGAAACATGAGTACGAATGGAATTCCATTTCCTTTGAAGGCTAAGACGTCGTCATATTTTCTGTTCTTGATTGTCGACTCTACGTTAGAATTATTTTGCCGAGTTTGACAACATTATCAACATAATGAATGCATACAGGCTATATGATATTGTTTTCGCTATACAGGTTTCTGAAACTGAAATAATAAACTAATTTTCACGATTACGTATTACGTGAGTGCTGCCCTCTGTCGACAGCTCCAACCCATGCTTCAACTTCAAAGGTTCATGCGTCTTGAAAACTTATTCACCTTAATGAAGGGCCATTGCCCGGAATGTCTGGTTATATTGACTAATTAACAAGAACTACGATTAACAAATACCCCTTTAGCATACGAGCGTCCGAATAGTAAGTATATGAGACAAATTAGCAAACGAACCCAGCATCTCCCATTAGAGACAATGGCCCAATCTAAGTAACGAATGCAAAGTGTCGTGTACAGTTATGATGACCATTAACTAAAAGTTCATTGATGACTACGTGTCTGCTCCCATGTGACTAGGTTTAGTACGATTTGATATATATAATATATGATTTCAATAAATGACACTCGTGGCAACTTAGTACTTAAATATTCCATAAAAAATGCACGTACAATCGCGACGAGGGGCTTTGTTACCTAGGAAACTCTACAAATAATAACATTTTTTTCTAGTGGGATTAATCCAACCAGGAGATCCTGGTTTTCAACAATTATGTTGATACATGTTGCATATTTCACTAACTTAGTATCATATGACATTTGAGTGAGCAGTATTACATGTACTGCGCAAATTTGTTTTGAATAATCCGAATATGGACATATTGAGTAACTTCCTGAACTAAAAACGACTGGGCGTCAGAAACATTCGATGACGTACGACATGTTGAATCATACATTTATTATTATACAGTTAATATAGATCATAATTGAAAACAAATATTATAATGCATATATCAGTATTTAAGCCCACATGGCAACAGTACGTTATCATCTGATCCATTGTGAAACTCAGATCACAGCCTTGAATGTACTACCATTTATCAATATTATTTATCAGAACACAAACAACACATCGACGCTGATAAAAGTTGTAAAATAATGGCTTATGATATGATGTTATTTACTAACAATAGTAATGTATGGTTGTCAATGTGCCACTTGCTGATTGGTTCAGTCACATTGACGTCACATACGCGTAGGCACGTGGGATTTGCTTATTTCATTCATATTTTACTGCGCATGACTAAATTCATCACCGGAATAGCTTTGTGTACGACATGCGTTTTCCTCTAACACGCCGCATTACTCTTCTCTGTGAGTTTCTTTTGAATTTATCAGGGTTGGCTAGAATACAATCTTGCTCATATATTAATCAACATTAATTGAACCGTTCGGCAGTTGGCGAACGCAAAACATTAACTCCTGAACCAACTGTGCGTGGTGTAAAACGATCTAACAGTGCGAATGAATATTAATAATTTAATTTGTCGCATATTATATTACGATATATTTAATTACATCTAGCACCATGTATGTACAGAATTAATAGTCCTAAGCTAAACGTCGTACATTGAGAACATCATGTTTTCAAGTGAAGATATGGTATATTTGTTTCGATCATAGTACCACGCAGTGATGAAACCACGTCGACCTCTGCTGGGTGTTACCGGTGTGGCCAGAGTGCGTGCTTGTATACACGTTTTAACGACCGAAAGCGGGTCAAGAACGAGACACGGGGAACACGTGCGCGTTTATTGTTTTGAGTGTACGCATCACACATTCTCCTTCCCAGAGTTCATTGCAGTTAGATCACCGAAAGTATAAGATCGCGTGGTGGCAGAGATATATTCGTAATAGAACTCTGCCTGGGGAGATCACATTGAGAAGTGACGTACAATAGACGGAGATATCGCTACCGTTAACATTACTGCTTCTTGAGTCGGGTTGAATTGATCTATTGTATCTCGCTAGCATAGGGTGACCTCCTTTGGTGACCGCCGAATCTAGCCGGAAATTGCGAAACCGATTCAAACTAGTCTGTATTAAGCGAGGGGTCACCACACTCGGGGAATGTCTCACGCATGACGTGGGCGATCGAGTATGCTGCCGGCAAACACATGCATGTACTGTAAATTCGTAATACACAATCCAGTCAATACGTGTACGGTTCACACGAACATATGTCGATACTTCTACTCTATAAAAGTAGTAGTCAGTTTGGAATTGTTCTGATTGACGCGATAGTAATTCAAGTTATTTGCTACAATCTACCGAAGGAATTTGTCTGGCGGAGAATATTATATATAATATGCCGGACGACGTGGTAATATCAAACCATCCTGATATTGAAAGTACGGTACATTGCGAATCATGCCGGCAAGTACGCAACAAAACGTGTCATCTGCTCTACGACTACCACCCATCGACCCTCCAGACGGAGGGTATGGATGGGTTATTGTATTGGCCAGCTTCCTCCTCTTCACATTGTTGGCGGGGGATTTTTTTCATTTGGTGTGCTGTATGTTGCATTTTTAAAGGCCTTCAACGCATCCAAAGCAGATACAGGTAGGTATAGGTCGGCTGCCGACAATACGCGTCCGACAAACGTATTTTTTGTTCTCGTAGAACACGTCACGTTGGAACAGTATAGTAAATTTATAGTTACGGCTATCCAGATTCACGGTCATTTACGCAACATGACGTCACGAATTAAACTAGGCTGGGAACTAAACCTGGGTTGAGTGTAGCGAAGATTACAAAGAAACGGTTTCGTGTATTTGTTTCTTGATGTACGCTGACGGAAACACATTCATGCTCGCACTCGTGGATCGTGAATGGTTTCTGTGGAATTGACCGTAATAGAAAGCAGGCACCTCGAAAACGGTCACCAGGCGCGTGAATACAAATATTTATTGGTATAAAATTAATATATTGGATTCGTATTTAACCGTAATGAATATAATTATTATGAAATCCCGATAACCGAAAAACATGCAAGATCGTTACAGACTACTAGATTACGACACGCTTAGTTTACGGGTCACTAAAATCGTAAAATAAATCGTAAACAATTCTAGTTGAATACAGTTAAGTGAAAGATATATGCAATATAGGAGAAGCTTAGAAGTTGACGTGGTGCACATGGTGGCGCTTACAGTATAAATAGCTTGAGTGGCCGACGCCCTGTCCGATACATATTTCATCACGACCACACGTACGAAACGTAGCTTCACTGTATATGATGTAAATTGTCCATCAATCTGCCAGAATTCAGGATAAAGGGTCGACCATTTGAATTCATGTGGGTGACCGGAGGATTTGCTGTAAAACACCGAGAGAAAAATTGTACTGGTCACATTTTTCTAGGCACCCTTATAATTACGAATTGTTGCCCCCTAAATTTAAATATTTAGTAAATCTACCCATTATCGTAATTTTATTGGGTGTAGTTTTATTAATAGTTTCACGTAAAATTGGTGTAAGTAGGATCCATATTACGACGGCATCGGTCACCCGGCGTCATGGATATAAGCGAAGTTAACGTCGCTATAGTTTAGTGCCCACTATATAATTTATTACATAGCCCATAGCCTGAATTCATTCATTGTCATTTTGGGCGTCACGTTGTTAAGTACTTATTTTCAGACGTGCCACTTAAGTCGATGATGATGGCCGCGTCGCCGCACGCGTGACGTAGGTGTGACTTTCACAAATTAAGTGCCTACGTGCTTACTGGGGTTCAAATTCAGAGCCAACGGACTGTGCAGAACTTAGTACGTGCTTGACGGGGCAGATAAGTCACGACAACTTGAGCGTGACTTCCTTGCAGGACGGGCTAGGACGTGTTACGGTCCATTTCCCTCGCACGTCACAAGTGGCATACCTGATAACGGAGTTGCTCACATTGGCATAAATATGATTAACACTAATTTTATGTTTTTCATTGATTTTTATCGATAACATAATTGTTGTCATTCTATTATTTGTTGTGCGACGGCACTA